TTTTGGAGGGGGAGATGTGTGTATATATATCTTGGAATAAATTAATATTGCTGTACTGTTTAGTCTGATGGCCTGGAAGGAATCTGTTTACTTCTGTTTTCCAGAAGACAAGCTTGAGAAACCAGAGAAGCCTGTAAATGGAGAAGACAAAGGTGACTCAGGTGTAGATACCCAGAATAGCGAAGGGAATGCAGATGAAGAAGATCCACTTGGACCCAACTGCTACTATGACAAAACCAAATCCTTCTTTGATAACATCTCCTGTGATGACAATAGGTATGGTCTGTAAGGGAAAGCTTGTTAGTGTACTTAGTGAGTGTCTGTGTTATAAGGTTGCGTTGGCACTACTCATTACAATGAAGTAACTAAAGGCTACATCTGTATGCCAAAGACAAAAGAAAATGGGAATACGGAGTACTTCTGACTGTATATGCTACAGAATTTCCTTTTCCGGTTTAGGTTTTTTGCTTTGCTATGCAGTTAGCACCTTAGTTAAGTCAATTACTATTTTGCTTTTATAATGGTTTCTAAGTAGATTACATAACTTAGCAAGTAGTGTTGTTTGAGTGGGAAGATAAGCTTTTCTCTTCCTGTGGGCTTTTTTATTATGCACGTTGATGTGGATTGCTGACTGAGTTTGAAGAATGGGGGGTGAGAGGGAAGGTTGAGTTTATTTTACTAACAGATAAGATTAATACATGCAACTGTAAACTGCTGCTTTCTTGTTCTCTGTTTGAAATTGCAAATGGCTCTTTTTTAATATATCATGTTGTGTGCAGAGGTTAACATACCTTGCTGTTCTCTACAGGAAACTTAGTGTTTCTGATTTATAACCAATATTGTAATACACCTGTCTGCCACAACTCACTTCACTCAGCAAACATCTAGGTTCTTGCAGAAGGCATAGTTTGTAAATTTGATCTGATAATGCATCACTTTTTATTTCACTGCCTTAGTGGTGATTCTAACAAAGCAGGGCAGCCTTCATTCTAAAGTGTTTTAAACAGTCTTTGTTCCTATGTATGTGACAGGGAACGTCGACCAACCTGGGCTGAGGAGAGAAGATTGAATGCAGAGACCTTTGGAATACCACTGCGTCCTAATCGTGGCCGTGGAGGGTTCCGAGGCAGAGGGGGGATTGGTTTCCGAGGTGGAAGAGGACGAGGAGGTGGAAGAGGTGGTTTCACTACTCCCCGTGGATTTCGTGGTGGTTTCAGAGGAGGTCGTGGAGGCAGGGAGTTTGCTGACTTTGAATATAGGGTAAAATATATTTAATCTTACTCTAACTTGATCAACTGTATTTGGAAACTAGTGGTATAACTTGTACTGCTTTTAGATTTGATGTTGAACTAGAAGTTCTTGAATAGTATTGTGCAGATAGACTCAGCTATGTAATAGAAAGCCAGTTGATTCTTATTACTTACCATTGTTTGGCTGTCAACAGCAACCAAAAGCTGCCTTTAATCCGATGTCCTAAATATTTGTTCTGTATCTGGATTTGAAGAAAAATACAAGAGATCTACAGATCTAATATGAGAGAAGGATTAGAAGAGTTGCAAGCTTTATTCTAGTCAATACTGAAAAACACTAAGAAGAAACTTAAATTGTAGTGTGCAAGGAAGTTTTTTGACTTTGTGAATGAGTTGGCACAGTGCCTATGTACTTGTAATATACTACATAGCCCTTAAAATAGAGTAATTGAAGTTAAGTGTACTGTCTTCTGCAGAAGGCAGGTCAAATGTATTTGGCATATGTAAGTTTGTTACACAGTTTGTAATTATATTGTTACTCAGTAGCTACTGGGAAAGCTGAGGCAAGATTGACTTTTTTCAGCCACTCATAGAGCAAAAAGGAACCGTGGGAGATAAAGCAGAATCTTGCAGAAAAGCTCACTACCCATCCCATAGATAAAATATTTTCTAAAAGGTGAAAATGAGTATTATTACTTTAAGTAAATATGAAGAGGCTTGGTTTCTTAAAGCATTATGCACAAGTTGCCATAGAAGTCTGTTAACCAAAGTAACCTGATGCACAAACATGCTTTCATCATAATGTAATCATATAAATAGTAATTTGCTCTGCAGAAGCTATGGTGGCTGAAATCATTGTTTCTCTTTTAGGGTATACTTAGGCAGTTTACTTTTGCAAAGCTATCAAGGCATGCGCTTTCCTCTTTCTTGTTGAAGATCTTAACTCCTGTTTTTATCAGCCATTCAAGGAAGGAGAAGTCGGATGCCGCCCTCTGCTAGTAAAGCAGTATATTCTGTGCTAATGGTATTTTAGGTGCACTTTCTTTTTCTTAAAAATAACCCCAAATCCACCTCTTATCAGCGCTAATGGATCAGACAGATTATATGAATTATGAGAGCTCAGTCACTTGCAAAAATAAAATCTTTTCATAATTTTAGTGCAAGTTATTTTTCTAGACATCACCTTCAACTTGAATGCTACTCTATGAAGGAGCAGAAATTATGTGGGCACTGTTTAAAATCAGTAACAAAAATAATTAACGGAACTAAAGCAAGTAAGTGTAGACTTTTACAGTTCTGACTCAGACAGAAGAACTTTTTCTGGTAGCTTACCTTGTGAGCAGTAAGAATTTTTACAGTGCAAAATCATTGCGTTCTGGTTGAAATTCAATTTTTTTTTAAAGCCTTTTTATAACTGAAGATGTCTGTCCCTCAGCCATTCCTTCCTTAAATTGCAAGAATTAGCCCTGTGATTTAAAGAAGTTTAGTAGCTGAGCATGAACTGAAATAAGGAGTTGAAGATCATACATAGGTTTTTGTGAATGAACGTTTCACAGTTGTGTGGATAAGTAGGATGTGGCATACAGGCAGAGGATTTGTGCTACAGCTTCAGTCAGTGAACTGTCTCAGTGTTTGCCAGTATTTTGACCAGCTGCTAATGTGGAGATTGGAGAAGTCTCCTTTCTGATTTCAGAAAATCAAAAGTAGCCATTGGAGTTTATCTTCTCCCAGCGCTGTTCCCCAAATTAACCTGTCATTTTTTGTTTTGCAAAATTAATTGTAACATTCTACTGTTGTTCCCTCTAGAAAGACAACAAAGTTGCTGCATAGTCTACAGGAAAGCTGAAACTGCGTGAACGTCTAGATCTTCTTGATCCAGAGAATTAGTTTCAATCTCTGCAAAGAATGAAGTTAATTTGCTGTATACTTGTCACCAGCACTGGGATTTAACTATTTAATTTCAAAGGGGTGTAATGCAGTTACTTTTTGAAAAATGGCCATCTTTGAAAACAGTGAGCATTAAATATATTTGAGACAGAAGGATAAGTAATTTCTTATGTATAGTTAATTATAAAGCAGTACTTCGATGGAGTTTAAGTATTTTTTCATCACTGAAAGGATTTTTCTTATTACTAAACTGTATTTGATAATTGCTTCAAGTTGTAAGGACAATTGTATGCAGAAGGCCGTCGATACTGTGAGTGTTTTGATCCACTGAAGGTTGTTTTTTGGAAATCCTGTAATATCCCTTTTGAGATGGTTGTACTTTATCAACTAGGGTGCTGGACAGTAGAAAACTTGCTATGTCAGTCAGATATGTACACACAGTAAATACTGTTTCTTAGGCAAAGGAAACTTTTTATATAGTTGTAAAATTCCATTATATCCCATTGCCAAAGAAACATTACAAACTTTGTATAGCTGTATAAAAAGCAACTAATTTTTTAAAGAATAAACATTTTTAAGTCGGCAAACATACTGTGTTATTGCAGAAGTTGATATGCTGAAGAACACTGAATTAGTTGTGTTTTTTTCTTTAGCAGCTTTTTGGGCTTAAATTTGATTTTATATTTGGAGTATAATGAAAATTTGAAATGTTCTTCCATTTACACAAAACTGGATACACTCTTCGCTACTCTTGCAAGCAATTGATTTTGTAGTTTCTGGCATATCACAGGATTTGACCAAATGAAAGAGATATTTTTCAAATGAGGACAAAATAAATTTCCTATGTCCAAATTTTCAATTAATTTTACTTAGTGATAAATATTAACTTTTTTTTAAATAATGGACCAGGCACATGAGTTAAAGCGATTCTTCTGGAACGCCTGGGCCAGAAGTATGTCTGCATTTGTCAGTTCTTGAAACGTTAACTTTGTTGTAATACCCGTAGACATAAGCAATTGAGGAATTAGTGTTTGGAGTTGTTTGCATTTGATAGGCCATAGCTTGGAGAAGATGAGAACCTGGTTCTAAGACATTGCATCCGCAAATGACATAGTATGGACTTTCTGCCAATTCTGATGCCTAGTTCCACCTTGTGGATACGCTGAAATAGAGACCTGGTCATTTGTGTCTGTATATGTATGTGAAGGCCACAGGAATAAAGGGATCCAAAGATTAAACGTTTTGATCTAATTTACTGATTTTATTTTTTTTAACTTCAAAGTACTCAGTGGTGATAAAGATGCGGAAAACTGCACTGTTGGAAAATTGGAATATTTAAAGTGGGTGATAGAATCTTAATTTTATAACTTTTGTATAGCACTCTGAGGAACTATTTTGTAATTGGTTTCCTTATTAAGGTCGAGTATCTGGCAGCCGTAGAAGTTAGATAACAGTGTTAGTAACGTTTTTGCATGTGAGCAGCACTGCCTGGCGGGGCCGCCGGGGCTCCGAGAGCTGCGGCGCTGTGGGAGCGCGGGGCCGCGCGGCTGTGGGCGGGAAGCGGCCGTACGGGCGGCTGCCGGGCGGGGCTCCGTGCGCAGGGAGCGGGCAGCGCGGCCACCGGCGGGCTACTTTGTTTCGTGGAAGCGAGGGGTTTTTATTTTCAACCAGAATAAACTCTTCAATATAACGAGGCTGTGGGGAGTTATTTCGTGCCCTCGCAGCCGCACGGAGCACGGCGGGATCGGCTGCTTTCGCTCGGGCGGGAACCGGCGCGAGGAGGGAGGGGCGCGAGCGGGGGCGTGAGGGGGGGGAGCGGGGAGCGGCTCCTTCGGCGCGGGGCGGGAACGGCGGCTCCCTCGGCGCAGGCGCGGGGCGGCCGTTCCCTCAGCGCAGGCGCGCGGCGGCGGCGGAATGTCGGTGGTGTTCGTGCCGGAGCGGCTGCGCGGCAAGGCGGAGGTGAACCAGGAGACGCTGCAGCGGGTGAGTGGGCGGCGGGGTCCCGGGCTGGCGGCGGCGGAACACCCGGCACGGCTCGGGGGGCGCCGGCTCCGCCCGGCCCCGCCGCCGCCCTCGCAACCCCCCTCAGCGGCGGCGCGGGAGGCGGGGCCGAGGCGGGCGGTGACGGCGATGTTTGCCGCAGCTGCTGGAGGAGAACGACCAGCTGATCCGCTGCATCGTGGAGTACCAGAGCAAGGGCCGCGCCACCGACTGCGTGCAGTAAGTGCGGGCGGGCCGCCCCGAGCGGCTCGGGGGGCGGGGAGGGGCGGTGGCCTCGGCTCGGCCCTGCGCGGACCGCGGACGGAACGCCGAGCGGTTGCGGAAGTGACGGCTTCGGTCTGCGGCATCTGCTAGAGAAAAACAGGCAGTCGCTCACTTGCCAAAAAACGTTTTTCTTTCCTTGATAGGTACCAGCATATCCTGCACAGAAACCTCATTTATTTAGCCACAATTGCAGATGCGACGCCGCCCAGCGCGCAGAAGACTACAGAGTGACTGCACGCACCGGGCTGCAGGCTGCCGTGCCTTACAAAGAAAGGCTTTAGTTTAGATTGCCACTGTGAGAGGGAGAAGGTGTAGTCACACAAGGCAGGTAAAGAGCCATCCCTCTGTGTGAATTCTAACGTTAGAATAGCTTCTTTCTTCCTACTACGTAGAACGTAGGGGGGAGAATTACCAAGCTTTTGTCTCTGGAAAACCTCAGTGTTGTGTGTTTCTGAAAATAGCTCAGTTGCCAGGACAGCACCGCCGCTGCCTTGGGAAGATTGTGGCAGCCTTAGCGAGGGGACGCCACTGAGCAGGTGGGAAAGTAGAAATGACAAGAGACACATGTTGCACAGACTATTGTGTGTACTGTATCATAAAAATTGTGCTAATAAATTGAAGGTGTGTTTTGTAAAGCACTATTTTCTGGATTAATGTAACATGTTTGTTAACATGTTAAAAAAAAAACACCTTGGCATTTACTGCAAAAGGAGCTTGAATTTCAGAATTCAAGGAAAGAGGTAACAGCTTTTAAGTTATGCAACAGTCAAGTTCACTAAGAGAGGGCTGATATTAGCCCCACTTGCATCAAGATTTTCATTTTTGCTTGGAGTGTTCTGCCCTACAGATTCTGCAAACAAGTAACTTCTTGCATAATCAGTATGGCCTTATGTGCACCCTGGGTATTTGTCAGCCTCTCACCTGTCTGCCTCTGTACCCTTACCTATTGAGAGCACAGCTTATTTTACTATTATATACATATTTTTACACCTGCTTGTGCATTTCAGTGATACAATTAGCATAAGCTAAACAAGCCTCAGTAACTAGTTCTCCCCTCCCTCCCCCCAGCAAAAAAAAAGTTTTCACTCACTCCCATTAAAATCATTTACTCATCTAAAATTTCATGTTACTTATTTGTGGCAATGTTCATCTGCACTAATAGTCCAAAGATACTGTTAAGGCATTTTCTCTTCTTATGAAAGAGTAGCTTTTAAGATGCTTCAGGTTGTATGGTGTACTAAGTTCAGTTTTATATCATGTAAGTAGGCAGTTAACAACTTGCAAATTGTTAAATAATCCTATGTTAATGAAGTAAGGTCATTGTTTACAAACCAAAATTACAATTTTAGGTGCTGCTCATTTTCAGTAAGGTGCATATTTTAAACAGGTATGACCTATTAAATGTATATCTTTAATAAAGCTAATATTTTACTTTTACAGAAGCTTTAAAATACAAAATGTACAATTCCAGTTCAGAAGCATTAGCTATTCACAGAAGCACTGCAATAAGGGTAAGTTAACTAAGCACCAAACCCTTGCACTTGGCAGTGTAAGTGAAGTTTAATGGCAAGACTCATTTGCCAAGTGCAACAACTCTTAAAATTACCAGTGTTCAGAACAATCGGAAGCAAAGGACATAGTAGCACCTACGTGGTCAAAATGCAGACAGACTTTGTTTCTGCAATTTACTTATGTACATCTAGAAACCTGCCAGCATTTGTAATTATGAATCAGCTGCACAAACTATAGCAATAATTTTGGCACTTGTTAGGAGGAGTTCAAAATAAGATGTTTTCATTAACTTCCATTTTGGTCTTAGTGTGAATAACCAGTAACTACAACCAAATTTAGGATTTAATATTAGATCTAAATGACAAGACTGAGGAAACTCAAAACCATTCATCAAGTTAAGTAACCACTAACATTTTCAGCAGAGGGTTTTCAAAACTGTAGTAGTACAGACCATCAACAATTTACAGACAAGCCACACTGATTGTGCAAAGCACATTACTGTAAAAAGTCTATGTACAGCAAACAAATCTTTGTAAACATGTAAGTATGAACTTTCAGAAAACGTGGTGACAATATCATAAATACAGGCAACATTGGCATCCTCAAACAGCACAAAAAGTAACAATCTGGGCCAGCAAATACAGCCCATCACCATACAAACAAAAAAGGTGGATGGGTTTTAAATACCCAAATGTTTAATAGTTTTAGTGTTGTGTATACTTCTTATTTATATATATGTATTAATTTTTTGGTATCTTTAGATATAGATGTACTTAGTTTGTAGAAACAAAAACAACAAATGTGCTTTCTCTTCATTGAAAAATTATGTAGTTAGAACTAATAACCCATTTTACTAGTAGTTAACATATTAGAATGATATGACTTAAGAAAAATACAAAAATAAGATTAATACTGTCAAAACTCTTATACCAGAAAATATTGTGGTTTTTTTAGTCTCTTTCAAAGATGAAATATGAAAATTTAAATAAGCTCTAACTATATAAAGAATCTTCTGTAATCTCAGTTAATATACAGTGGGATAGCTATATATATATTTACCATTGTTCTTCACTTTTTAAGCACCAGTCACTCCCAGACCCACTTTGGTTGGAAGATTATTCCCAATTCCACAGGTTCACTTAATGGCACATATTGACTGCAAATAATTACTTTATCCTTTTAAAAAAAATAACGTTCTTATAGCTAACTGCTACCCCACATTACAGTTCTAATATCTTCTGAGCCAGCTCACAACTTTTTTTTTTTCTTTTTTTTTTTTTTAAATCAACTAGCATCTGAAATAAGACTTTAAAATATATGCAAGTAGTCTTTCAGGCTGTACTTTCACACACTGAAGGAGTACTGTGTGGATAATGCCTTTGGCCAGATGAAGCACTAACAAATGTATTTATTTGAAAACCAGTGTCATATTATCCACACAGGTGCCAACTACTTTAAGCAGCTCAGTTAACATTTGTGACACAAATTTGAGTGGTTCTGCTGATCTATATTTTGAGTAAGGAAACTACCACAACACTCAATTTCACAACTGCTTCTGCAACAGTTTTATAATGAACTCGCTTGTGTGGCACATGAAAAGCTGCACTTACACTTCATTTAAAAAAAAAAAAGTTGCCCACAGGCCATTAATGGAAAAAACAAAGGCTTTCCAGCTTGTCCATTATAAATTTAAACACAGCACTGAGCAAAGTGACCACTGTATGTTTGCTTCAACATATTCATTGTGTTTCAGTAAGATGTCAACTATAAATCTATATGAAAAAATAGCTACAAAATACAGTGTTTTTTGTATGGTAGTCCTTCAGCAGTTATTTTTTTTTTTAAAAAAAGCTTTTGAAAGTAAAGGCAATATAGATATTTTTAAAAGCATTTCTACATCACAGTTTTGGGCTGTTTCATGTACAAACATATTGGCCATATTGCTCAGCACTGTAAATAAGGTTCAAGAGTTTTTATACCTCTCCTCACGCCCCCCTCAATTCCCTATTTAATAAGATAAACAGGATATAGCCAACACACAATTGTGAAAAAAGTACATGTACTTTATAACTGTTTGGCCCTGTGCTGCATTTTCCAATATGAAAAGCAATCAGTATTGATGCAGGTAAGATGGTCTGCGTTCGTGCTTTACTGGAAAAGATTTAAAGCCCTTATTCATCTGTTTGTGCTGGGAAGCCTGTTGCTGTGACTGCTGCTGCTGCGCATAGGCAAAGCTAGAGGAAATTCCTGTTGATGGAGCACAGTCGTTGGCTGCCGCCCACACGGGTGACTGAAGGATCTGCATCGTGTCACTCCACTGGCTGACAGGGCTGCTCATAGGGTACAAAGATGTACTCTGACTGGGTAGTGTATTCGTGACAGAGGACGTATGTTGCCAGGGTGCCTTTGGAGGCCAGGTTTTGGTTTTATTATCCTGAGAAAACAGAAATAGTCGTTGGTTTGTAAAGCGGGTTGGTTTTTCTGTTTTGTTGGTTTTTGATCAATGTACTTCCTTTTGAGATAGTACTTAACTATAACATTTTCAGAAGATTAATCTTTAAAAACAGAATTAATGCATATATACAATTCATAGCTCATACAGTATTTGCCTCTTGAAAAACCTTTATTCAGCACATTTGCTTGATGACCAGCAGCCCTGCTGTAAGTTAAAATTTCTAGTAAGCTAGGTAATTAACAGAATCACAGAACTGTAGGGGTGGGAAGGGACCTCTGCAGATCATCAAGTCCAACCCCTCTGCTATAGCAATTCCCTGCAGTAGGGTGCACAGGAATGCGTCCAGGCAGGTTTTAAGCATCTGCAGAGAAGGAGACTCCACAACCTCTCTGGGCAGCCCACTTCAGTGCTCTGTTTCCTAATGGAACTTTCTGTGTTCCAGTTTGTGCCCACTGCCCCTTGACTTGCTGCTGGGCACCACTGAAAGCACTCTCACTCTTTAAGTGTTTTAAGTATTTAGAAGCATTGATACCTACCCACCACCCTCCGTTACCCCGTCTTCTCCAAGCAGAACAATCCCAGGTCTCAGGCCTTCCTCCTAAGAGAAATCTCCAGGCTCCTAATTGTCATTGTGGCCCTCTGCTGGTCTCTCTCTAGATGTTCCCTGTCTTTCTGGGTAACCCAGAACTGGACACAGTACTCCACATGTCACCTTACCAAGACAGAGTACGGGAGGGGGGTGACTTCCCTTGACCTGCTGGCCACTGCCCTTCCTGGCCGCAAGGGCCAATCTGGTGGTACTTTATTTGTTTGTGTAGAGAAAACTGAAGTTGACTGTGTTGCCTGGTTTTCTATTGTAATTTCTGCTACAAGGGAAAAGTGAAATTATTTCCAATTTTAAATTTGGTACTTTACATTTAAAAAAAAAAAGAAGAATCTAGTACTACTTCAGTGTAAATCGTTTGCATTTAGTAAAGGTAAGGAACATAGCTTCTGTTCTAGTTGATTTCCTAAAGAAAACCACTCCAAAACACATGCAGAAAAAATGACTAAACAAAGTTTTCCACTTACCTGATTACGGTCATCTACTGCAGAAAGAAGAGGTGGTGATGGTAATGTACTAGGTTCCTGTTCTCCACTACTGTGTTTTCTGCTCCAAGAAAGCAACATTTAGTTCGGTTTATTTGTTTTTAAATTAGTCACATGCATTAATCTGCCACTAGAATACCATTCTGTAGTTCCACTCTGTCTTTAGTTGACAGCCTAGAATGTGTACTGGCATTTCATCTCATGTTTTTTCTTAGTAGAGGTAAAAGTACAAGTTATTGCAGCAAGAAATTTGTTACTGAATACTGTCAGAGACTTGACAGTGCAGCTACAGCTTCAACAACACGTTTTTGTGGAGATAAAAAAGGAAGATGAGCTGGTCTTTTGCTGTGATGCTTATTAGATAACAACCTTCCAGTTATTTCAATTCAGCATTTATTTTTGTTCCCTCTTAAAAGTTTTGGTAAAGGTGCAAACTCATAAAGCACCTCCTGACTTAGTCAATTCCTTTCAACTTGTTTGCCTCGGTTTCATCTTACTTTACCCCAGCATACTTTCTTTATCCCAATGCATATAAAAATAACTTCTGTGGTAATCTGCAGAAAACTGTCAGTGTGGCTACTG